CTGAGTGTCGTTCCATTACCCGAAGTTACTAGAGTATCATCCATTAAGTTCCCAAGCTGGGGTGTGCCTCCATTCTTTTTCTTTCTAGATGTGTTTACCTGTCATTCCCCATCCGAAGACTGACTCATCTGATCGGTATAGTCAACAGATTGTTGGGCATGTAGGAGAGAATGAGCCCCCATCTCCTGACTAGCAATAACAACATTTTGAAGAGATTGTAAGCATGTCTCTTCAACACCTGATGCATTTTGGAGATGTGGAGCTTCAATACTATCATTATTATCGGACCCAATTAAACCATCTGTCAATATATCAGTCGGAAGAACAGAGACAATATTGTCTCCGGTAGTGGGAGGGGGAGGTGACATCGTTTCAACCGGTGTTTCAATAGTTTGTGGAATGCACTCAGGAGCAGAGGAGAGACAGGTATGAGGTGGGGCAGATCCATAAGATGTATTACTTGAAGGTTTTAAATTCGGATGCAACTGATAACATTGAGAAGGAGAATGTCCAAATATACGACAGTGAGTACAATAAAATAGTATCTGTTCAAGTTCTGTTTGCTGTCAAAATCCCTGATGTTGTGTGCCAATCCATATTTCTCCCAGAAAAGGTAAAGTAATATCCCTTTCTATCAAAATTCTGGCTTCTGAAGGCCGAGTCAGATTCACTGTAGGCGTGTCATCTTTGAGGGGTTTACCGTATACCATCGCTAAAGCGAAGAGAAACTCTTGATCAAAAAGGTGGATCTTCAAACCTGGGAAGCGCAGCCAAACAGGAATGGTAGGAGGTTCAATACGGGGGTCAAAATCCACCGTCCATTTTAAAACCTTCATCACTTGGTTTTCTATTCAAAGAACTATTCTCGCAAACAAATGGGTGTAGTCTTCGTCATTTGATAATTGAATAAGAATGTGGAGACCATGCAATTTACCGATCTTCCAACCCCTTTTCAGCTTCATTTGCTCAAAGTCTTTTCGAATTAGCTCAAGTTTAGGGTTTCCATAAAGAAACTTATTTACTAAGAACAGTCGGCAGAGCGCAGCTAGGGTGGAGATCTCTGCTTCAGTGAGAAAGATTGTAGGTTTGTCATTTTTACGGGAAGCTTTTTTGAGAAATCTGGTTTCAATGCCAAGAGCAAAATTGTCGTGGTATCGTTGCGAGAACATATTTGAAAGAGGATTAAAAAGAGGAGCGGAGACGGGGTTATCACTGAGAGGGCGGCGCACTGGCGAGAGCGACGGCGTAGGAACGTCCTAAAGCCATTTCTCAGGTGCAACAACAGCTGAGAACTCGCGACTAAGAAGTTGGGAGAGCCAAATGAAGCCGGGAGCCGCAGAATCGAGGCGCAGCTGACAGACGCGCGACGGACGGGAGCCGCAAAAGCGCGACCGTAGGGCACAGACACGCGTAACAGTGCGCGGCGAAGAAACAACGCCAAACGACGAGGATGAAGCGCGATGGAGAGGATACGACGAACTATCTGTTGCAATTGCATCGAACTCGTATATATATTGTTTATTTATGCATATATTGATATATGTATATGCCACTTCTCCGTCATAGCCTTTCTTTCCACCACCTTTCATAACTTTTGTATGTCTTTCTTGAAGTGATGAGTTGTTTATTTTTTATGTGGGAACTCTTAAGAATCTTCATAAAGCTTTATCAAGGTGCTGGATGTGAAGGTCACACGTTTAGGTGTTTTCTTATTACCCATAAACTTCTTTCTTAATGGAATGGGGACTTGATTTTAGTTTTCATGTTTTTAATACCACCTTTACATGGTTTATTGTGTTATGGACATGCTAGACATGTCTTTTAGAGGCTTCTTGGGGTGAAATTTTAAGATCTCATAGTTGGAATTGGTTGTTGGTTTTTCGGCTAAACCAATGCTAGCGATTCCTCATACCACGAGGGGCAAAGCAAGATGAAGATGAAATGGGAGGAGTTGAACAAGAAATTGAATCATGCAAAATGGGTACGAAGCCTGCAGGTGTGCAAACCGAGAGAAAAGAAAGAGAGAAAAAAAGTAAAAATGGAAGCATAGGAAGCTCATGTGACTAATAAAAATCAAGCGAAAGTGGAGAAAAATAGAGACGGGAGATGAGGAGCAGGAGCATGCCAATTGAGCTCGAGAGATCAATACTGTACACTAGAACAATGAGCGCAAGTGGATGAAGTTGGTTCGATTGCTTGCAAGCTTGAGTGGCAAGCATGTCACACAAGCTTGAGTGGCAAGCATGTCACGATCTCGAGCAAGCGCACAAGGGAGTGATCAGTCGAGCAGATGAGACCTTTTGCAGGAGCGATAAGTGAACTCTATGATGATTTCTAGCGTCACCGGAATTTGCTTACTAAAATTTAGTTTTTGCTTCCACTTTAACCATGCTCATGCTCATGCTCATGCTCATGCTCATGCTCATGCTCATCCTTCCATCTATTCTTTTCATGTGATTGAACTGACTGTGATTGATGAGATTACTTTTGACCATCTAGTTTTTAGTGAAACGGGATTTGTTGGCTTGAAAACCATAATGAGACATGTTTCTCAAAATTCTAGAGTTCCAAGAGTTTACAGTCTTAAAATGAGTTTTTTTTATGCACCAGGAGATTTGATGGAGGTCATTAAGTCATTCATCATTGCCTTTGTTATCCCACCGGCTATCAGATTAATATAGGAATTAGCTTGTAAATATCTTTTGGTTTAGTTGACATTATTTAATTTGTTACTGATATTTATTTGGTAAATTTTGATATTTTTATGGCATTTTGTAGTAAGTATAATATCTATTAAGTAAATGTCACGTCATGCTATTCCTGTTACTCGGCTTTTATGTATTTGAATTATTTCCTTCCTCCTTTGAGAGCCTTAGAAAGCATGTGAGATAGACGGTCTTTTATTACTGAAGTAATCCTTCCCCTTTCCTCCCAAATCCAATCGTTTTATCATAGGTATGTTTGCATGCTACCTAGAAGAGAATTATCAAGATACCATAAATGTTTATATGCATAAGTTTTCCTTCAATGATCTGACAGATACTTTCACGCATCTATGAATTCTCTCATCACATATATGATCAATGATGATAGGAGTGCTATGAAAACATCAATTGCATACCTTAGTTCACTTTGGCATATGTTGCACTTCTTTTAAAATATGAGGATTGATGTGGGTTTAAGTGTAAAGCTGGAGTTTCTTCTGTATCATTGGCTGTCTTCATGTTTAATCAATGGAATGAATTTTTGTTCTTTCAAACATGGAAAAAAAAAAAAAAACTACCCTTGTTTTTGTTACAGACATCTTATAGACTAGCAACTAGCATCCAGTACAATGGTATTGACTCTCATGATTTTATTTATTGATTTTATTTACCTTTATGTACCTTCAAAAATATATTGCTACCTATCAGGTTCATGGTAAATTCATCTACTCGATTACAGAAAACGTGTTCAGTCTCTGTACTTCGCCAAATTTAGTTGGACTGCAGTATAAGCATGCACGATGTGGAGTCAAAGAGGTAAACTAGCATGTGAAGTTTTTATTCTATTTCTATGGTTACCATCTATCTGATGTTAATCTCATTTGTTTTTTGTTCTTTCAGGGAATCGTTTGCGGACTCTTTAGGTCTGCAAAAGTAAATTTCCACCCAAATGATGAAGAAGTAATCAAAGATACTGATAAAGTAAGAACAGTTCTTTATTCTGTTGTAATTTTTTTTATTTCTAAAAACCAGTCGGAGAGGCATAGTTTTCTCATGCTCTAACTGTTTTTTGATTGTGTAAGCAAAAATATGCTTACATGCTTCTGTTCTTCTAACTAAAGTAAAACACTTCTTGAAGTTATGCTTGTCACACCCTGGTTTCGTAAGGCTGCATGCCCAACAACTCAGGATATGATCTAGATGTCAATATTAAGTGATATTGTACTATTATATAAGAGATTTGCAATCTTAAATGATATAGTTTATGAGAATTGAAACATGCATTATTCACTAAAAACTAGATACAATGAATTGTATAAAACAATTATTATTGGATATTTATGATGCATAAATCTTCACGTAGAATAGTATTTTTAATGAATTATATATTAATTTATTCATCTTTATTTTTTGAAGAATGTTTGTAAAGAATTTTGGTGATATAATAAACTAAGAATAAACACTTCACAAAAACCGTTTATGTAAGTCTGTTAATAATGGCAAAGATATTTGTTCAAGCATGAAGGGATAAATATAGAATAGTATCTTTAGAAACTATAAATAATTTTATTTGTCTTCTTTCTAACATCACACTACACAACATATATATAAAATAACAAACAAAAATAAAATAAGAATCCCTCTAAATTCGGAAACACATTATTGAAGTATATTTTGAGATAAGAAAATAGTTTCCTTCCTAATGTAGATTTCCTATAAGGACGTAATTCCACACTCCCCTTTAAGCTGAGTTATAGAGGTTATAAAAACCCAATTTGGTATTTAAATCAATGAAGTTGCATGGAGGTAGGGATTCAGTGAAGACATTAGAAGATGAATTAGAATGTAGATCAAGCGTATAATGCCACTACTGACTTTTTTAGAGATACAATGCCTATCAATCACAATATATTTGGTCTTGTCATGATGCATAGAGTTGACGACTTGGCATTCACAAAATATTTTTATAGGATTGAGCATGGAGCATCTCAATTTATTTAGTAACATTTGGATTTGCATTCCTTCACAAATTCCCAAAGCAAGTTTCTGATACTCATATTTTGCATTACAACTTGAGACAACTGCTTGCTTCTTGCTAGTCAATGTGACAAGATTTCCCCATACATAAGAACGATAAATAGATTTGAATCTTCTGTTCGTGAGTTCTCCTGTTCAATAAGCATCAGTGTAAACTTTTACCTTCATGTTGCTTGATTTCTTAAACAATAACTTTTTGCCAGGAGTCTTTTTAAAAAAACCTCAATATTTTGTAAACCATTTTCAAATGTTCTTCATTTGGACTATTCATATGTTGATTCACAATGCTCATAGAATAAGTGATATCGGATCTAGTTATAGATAAGTTATCTTACAAATCTCTATCATTTATCTTTTTTCATTGGTGTCTTTTCTCTTCCAGAATGTAGCCTTTTGTAGAAATCTATAAGATTCTCAACTTCTTTACACCCTATCATTCATGTCTCATTTAGTAGGTTTTGGATGTACTTTCTTTGGGATAACACAATTTCCATCTTGGACCTGACCACTTCTGTGCCCATAAAGTATCTCATAGTTCCTAGATACGTAATTTCAAATTCGGTTACAAGAATTTCCTTAATATTCCCAATCTGCTTTTCATCATCATCTGTCAGAATCATATTATCTACATAGATAATGGGTATAGCTTTCTTTCCTCTTTGTTTAAGTTTTATTAACAGTGTATGATTAACATTACATTTAATTTAACCATTCAATTTCAAAGTCTTGGCAAATTTGTCAAACCAAGCACGTGAAGATTGTTTGAGGCAATAAAATGACATTCTTAGTTTACAAACCAATTTTTTTTTTAGCCATTTTTCAGTCATGGTGGGATCTTCATATATATTTCTTCCTTAAGATCTTCATTCAAAAAAGCATTCTTGATATTGAGTTGATGTCTGTTTCCACTCTTTGTTCACTGCCAACGATAGAATAACTCCTACGATATTCATCTTAGGCACTGGTAAATATCTCTTGACAGTCTATCCCATAAGACTTTGTGAAACCTTTGGCCACCAACATAGCCTTGAACCTCTCAATGCTTTCTTCTATTTTGTATTTGACATTGAACATTTATTTGCACCAAAAGGGTTTTTTATCTGATGGAAGTTTTGTAAAGCTTCATGCGTCATTTAGATCAAGTGCTTAGATATACTCTTCAACTACCTATTTCCACTCTGGACATAGAAGTGTCCAAAACCATGACAATTAAAACACTTAATGTCTAAGACAGATTTGGGAGTGCTGGTTGACTTCACATATTCTTCATTATGAACTAGTTTCTTTTATGACTGCTTTGGTTGGGATACTCCACCAAGTGAACTCTTAGTGCTTGATACTATGGTTGATCCTTATTCGAAGGGTGGTGTGGATCTGATACTGTGGCCTTGTCTCTCTACCTTCAGAGCTAGAGTTTGAACATATAATATCCAATTAGGTTGTAATTGGATCGCATTGTCAATGGACAGTCTTAATTCTCCCAGATATTGAACTATGGTGGTCTCCTCGAGCTCCACGAGCTCACACTTCACATAAGCTGCTCGAACTCCGCTGTATACTTCTCTTTAGAGAGATCTTTCTGTTGTAACTGGTGAAGTTTCAAGAACATATCTTGCCTGTAATATGCTGAGAGGAACTTGTGCTTCATCTCCCTCTTCGTCTTGGATTAAGTTGTGATTTTATTTTTTTTACTCCCTGGCATAGGCGTTTCAAAATTTTTTCACTATAGAAATACACTCTTCTTTAACTTAGCGGTTGGCTATACCATTCTATCCGGTGAATATCTTTATATTCAAAGACAAGTTCCACTGCCTGGAGCCACTTGATAAACTTGTTCGAATCCATGCACCCGTCAGTATTTATCAAGTTAATATTCACTTGAAAATTCTTATCTGATAATTCATGTCAAAACTTTGGTTTATCGATTCTTCTTTACTGAAAATTGCCTCGTGAAATAAATTTTCTTTCTCAACTTGATCTAGCGAGTCACTGTTGTGGGTACGGGTAACTTCTCTATGTTGTCTCCTCTTAAAGGTGACAAGCCTGCAGTTGGGGGATTTTCCGCTGCATATACTCCATACTAAGTTCTTGGACTCCGCATTGATGATTTCTATTTGGCGGTATGTCATCCGTTTCTATCGATTAGATTTTTAGTGAATGTAGGATTATAAATCAAAGGTTGGTTTTGATGGTAGGTGTTATGGTGGATTTTTGGTTTGTGTAGGAATGTAGAAAGATTGTCTTCTAAAATTTATGCTTTATGGCTAAGAATGGTAGGAATGGTTTGGGTATTGTGGGAATTTTTTTCTGGAATTCTAGATTTAGTGCAAGAAAGACATCCCTAAAGTAATCTAGGATTTGTTGGGCTCTGAGACTAGATGATAACGTTCTAGGGCCTGTATAATTTATGATAAAATACATAAAAGACATTAGGGAAGTTGTGGAATAGCAAAGGGAGGTGAATGTGTTTGGTCGAAAATACATGAATCTACTGTTTGATAACAGGTTCAACATAGTCAGCGGATGTACTGGCTTAAATCAGCAAGTTGGATGGTGAAATGACGAGGTGCGGGCAGCAAGGAGGTTCTACCACTTATTCCTAAACAAGATACAAAAGCATCACTTGCAAAAGGAAGATGATACATCACTCTGGAGCAAAATTTAGAAAAACGTCTCTCAATTCTTAAAATCAGAAAAATTGAAAGCTCGAACAGCTCAATACACATACATAAAATTTCCTTGATAGAAAATACGTACTTGAAAATTAGGAAATTAGGAAAGGACTAGAAAGGAAAGAAACAAAAACTGAAATTTTGCTGAAAATAAAATACATAGATAAAAAAGACATGTGCCTTTTCATTTTCGTGATTGTGGATGCTGCGGATTGCAGCTCGCAGCACTGCGGGAAACTCTTACGTTACACGTCATCCAAACTTTAAAATTTGTTCCTTCACAATCCTAAGACCAGAGCCTATGAAACTTGTGCCCTCTAAAAAACATTTAAGGAAATGACGATTAAAAAAAGATTTTGAATTTCTCCTTTGCAAACTAATCAATTTTTTATTAAATTAAATTGCTAGGTAATGAACAAGTACAACAAAGACATTTAAAAAGAAATGCTAATGCAAAAAGGAAAATATAACATCACAGAAAGGGATACAAAATATTCATTGGGATCATCTAGCTTGAAGTCTAATAAAAAAAGATGAGTAATAGATTTTTATTTGATTGCTACCTCTTTGGCTAAATGAACACAAAATTTTTTATCAACCAAATTCTTGATGCTTTATAGTCCAATCACAATTAGGAATCTACTGTGATAAAATGATCTTCATTTTGTTTACATATAGGATGAGTTTGAAGTGTTTCAAGAAATTTTCTCAATGATAATATCAGTAGTTGATGAAATAACAAACACTATGGGGCTGGCAAGGGTAAGTGCATCGACCACTTTCTCAATAAGAGAGTGAATTTGGTGTCATGTAACAGAAGCATTCATGAACAGATGGAAGTGATAGGTGGGAATCTTCCATCGAGGGGGTAGAAGATTTATTATGAGCATTAGGTGGAAATTCTTACACCTGAAATTTGGGATCTGTTAGTTTGAGGTGTGCCTTGAAACATTCAAAATATTATACCCAGAAATATGACAAGAGTTGCGGGATGATAATTTTTTTAAAATTTTCTTATGGTTGACCTAAAATGACTTGGGCTTGTTGTATAAGAAATGATCTTAATTTATTAGAATTAAATGAAAATATGACACTCAATAGGACACAATGGAGAAAAAAGAATCATGTAGTCGATCCCACTTGGGATAAAGGCTTGTTTGTTTCTGTTGTTGTTATTGTCTATATCCATATAACAAAGAGCCAATTCACACCTTGTGAAAAGGTATTATAACAACTAATCTCACTAAAATTCTCTTCGTAGAAAGCCTAGTA